ATGATGCGTTGAACCACAATATAAACAAAACCCACTTCTGGTCCCTGAATATACCCTATCCCTCGCCATATCCTAACACTCGATAATGATCGAAAAACGTAATCCACTCCAACCCCCAATTTACCAACGTTGCCTTAAACTTTAATTGGCTATTGTAGGTATAATAAGTAGGTTAGTACCATGTAAAAAGTAATATAGGATGTTTGTGCCCTTTTTGCGCAAACTTAAAATGATAAAATCAAAATTTCACTCGTTTACATATGGAAGGAAATTAGGAAACGAAGGGGGGGAAATAAAAAAATTGCCAATTTCAGAATCACTATATTTCCTTATTTAAGAGATATACCGAGAGATGTAAGTACAGCAAAATGTTTATTACAAAAGTTTCTTTTCGAATTACGAAAGTCCGAGATCGATCGCCTAAAAGAAAAAGATTCAGTCAAGAGTACTCGTTCTACTCCTCACTTACCTTCTTCCTTTACGAATGTTGAATAATCTGCCGTTTTCAGAATAAGTATACGTCAGGACCTAACCTCATTTTTTAGTGTATGTTATCGAGAGCATCTTAAATTATTTTTCCAAAAAAGTTAAAAAATTCATTTTAACCTTTTTTAAATACTTTATTCAATATTTTTGAATTTTTAATGTTATTCAAATGTTATTTATTAAATAAATTTAACACGCGCGTACACCTACTTAAGGGCTGTCCTACCCCTCGTGTCAGTCAATCCATGTTTTTGCCTTTTCCATAATAAATAATTAATCAGCTACCGAAATAGCCTCGGAAATATCTATTTGTCATCCCTCGTTGGTATAGTGTTACTTTACAGTTTTAAGTAACAGTTTTTTCATCAATGAAACAAATAGCATTTAAATATAGACAAAAATTATTCAGGTGTTTAATATTTAAAATGGGATGATCCAACACGAAACGGCTTGACAAAAACACCCTTAAAACTATGGTAATAGAACGGAACTTTTTAAAAAAAGCGATAACACACAGAACTAGTGCGAGTGTGCAAATTTTACCCTAAGTATTTCCTATGTATGCATGTATCCCTAGGTACAAAAGTTTTCAGGTAATTTTAGGAGTAACCTTGAGGGCCTTCTTTTCAAAATCAATCTAGAAGGGTAGAACCTCGGGCAGAACTATTGTGGGAGCAAATGGAACTAACAAAAATTTAATTACATCAAAATTTCACACATTTCTTGTGCTGCGATCACGAGGGAAATTCTTGTCCTCATATAGGAAATCGCTGGGATATATGTTAGTCCAGTCAAATTAGCTCCAAAAAGAGTCTAAACTGGATGTTGTCACTTCACTTAACGCGAGACTATGTAAAATCCACTGAACCCGAAGATCATAGTCCCCCTGGACGGCAACTCCCGGTTATATGTCGTTTTTTTTTGCATTTAACTTCATTTATCTCGTTAACTATTGCTCTAACTAAGGGAAGAGAAATGAATTTGTTTGGAATCGAATTTTCTATAAGATACAGCTTGTATTGAACGTTCATTTTCAAATGTTATTGTGTTCCACGAAAAAATATAAAAAAAGGAATCCCGAAAATTAACAATCTTGTTTTTACTAAGTAAAATATTATAAACAAAATCGCCGTAGGTATCAGTCATTGATTAATTAAATAAACAAATTTAAAAAACGATGCTTTATCTTTCACAAGGGGCGACTCCCAGAGCGTTCTTTACGTTACAGTTAATGAACCCTAAAAGAACCTTTTTCAATAATTTTGGCGATGATTCTTGAAAAATCGACGGACTGTGGAATTTTTTTTTAAATCCGAAGAATTTTCTTCGTAAACAAATGGAAATAATTTTCAAAATACAACCAGAAATGGAAATCTATAAGCGAATGGAAAGCAGATACGTCTAGATACGTCCAAATCCGTTTAATAGTTACGAAAAATCAGCTTTTGACTTTGGGCTTGTTTTCGAGACAACCAAAAATGATTTTGTAAATCGGGTCGTATCAAACGATTCTTTAAAGCGTAAACTTTGTTTATGCTTCATGTTTAACCAAAATGTATGATTTTTATTAATCAAGGGCCTATTATAGAGTTACCCCGTTATATTTCAGGACTTTTCCATTTGTTAGTAAACTAAAAAAAAATTCACACGGAGTTCCACAGTCCGTCGATTTGCAGGAATCATCAGGACAATTTTTGAAATGAAGGTTTGTCATACTTTGTTTTGTTATCCAAAGAAGTGACCAAATATACGGATGTTCAAAAAGATCGGAATAATTTTACTTAGTAATAACAAATTGTAAATTTTCGGGATTAGTTATTTTGTTTTTCCCTAGATTTTTCCATAAAAAACAATATTTAAAAATGAACGTTCCATACCAATGATATCTTATAGAAAATTTAACTCGTTTGATGCTAAGAAATTCATTTCTATTCATTTTTTCCCTCAGAGCAATAGTTAAACGAGATAATTGAAGTCAAATGCGAAAAGAAACGACATTTCGCCATTTTTTATTCGTTTTTTGTTTATAACAATATGATTCGGGAGTTTCCGGTCGGGGCGACTATGATTTTCGGATTCAGCGGATTTTTTTACATACAATACACTTGGTTTCGTTGAGTGAAATGACAACATTCAGTGTAGGAAATTGACAAAAAATTAGAGGAAATTCTGGGGAAATATTACGAAATGTTGGGGAAATAAGGAGGAATTTTTAAAAGAATGAGGAAGAAGAAATGTTGATGAAATAAAACGTTTTTCTGACACTACTTTAGAAACAACAACTTTCGTCTAAATCAACGTGTTTAGTCATTCATTTAAGGGACAAAAAGTGACAGTACACACTGAATTGTCAAATACAATTTAATGATTAATGGTTACCTGTATTGTACATATTTATTCTTGCACCGTATTTTACATTTATTATACCGTTTTCCATACATCTTTTTGAATTTGGAAGCCAGTAGGTTTCCTTATAGTTATAGCTTGTTTTCAGAGTTTTAAACGATCATTTGTACGCCATAATTTTAAACTAGAATCTTTAAATCAAACTGACATTTACATTACATTTACATACGGTCACAATTTGACATTACCAGGTATATTGATCCTACAATCAATCAAATTTTTTCTTTCAAATTTGCACTTTAACATTGAAATTGCCGTAGCTGATTACCAGAGTACAAAGAATAGCGTATATACCACAGGACTAAAGTGCGTCCTATAATCCCTCGGGCGCTTGTTGCGCTCAACTACGTTTCAGGCAACAATCTGCACCCTCGGGATTAAAACACACACTTTAGTCCCTCGGTATATACTATTATCCCTTAAAATAAGTCACGACCAACCCCACGGAGATTTATTTGAAGAATTTTTTTAAACTGCCTAACATTGCAGAACTTATTATGGGTGCAAAAAGAACTATTAAAAAATATGGCCAATGATGTGTTAATTTCAAAGATGCTGATGTCGGACAGCTTCTTAGCATTGCAGATTAAATAAAATTTGAGTCCCATAAAAATAATAATATGCACCTCAGCCAAACATTTACATGAAAGACTGACGTCGGTCACTTTTGTGCTCATATAAGTATCTTTAGTATTTAGACTGAAATCAACAAACAACCAACAAATAACCAAAGCATGAAAAAAGTTAAGCCCATTAAAATTTTGCGAAATCTGCCTCAACAGAATCTTCTACTAAGATTTCTATTAGAGCCAAGGTTTAACTCGCGAAGCCTTTGCAACAAACCAAAAATCTCTGTAAACCCTTGTAAATCTATATAATTTGCACGTTTTGCGGATCTGCAGTCCATTCAATTTCTGAAACATGAATTTTTAAATTTTGGTTTAGTGCAGAGGGTGTCAACTTTTCTTTTATAGGTTCATGAGGAGTTGATATTTCAAAGTAATGAAATATTAAAAGTTAGATCTGCACACCAAAATTACAATTTTCCGTGATGGACCGTGTCTTCGGAATTCTACAGTGTGTGAAATAAATATTGGGTACCGCTACTGTTACAAAAACTTGCACAATATGGCCTTTTTTTATCATCTATTTACTGCACGTATATAAACGCGCACTCATTAAAAGAGCAATTTCCCATAGTTTATTTCAAGGATCACATAAATATATGAATATTTCTTTATAAGATTCTCTCTTTATGCAAACCGAGCTGATAACATGAACGATTTTTAAGAAATTTTCAGTAAGTAGTGGTGAAGTAAAACAACAGCGAAATGTATTTGTTTCCAGATAACTTCGCAAACTTTGAACTATCGGCACTCAGACTTTTACCTCGTTATTTATTTACATAAACTAAACAATAGATTTTATAAATTAGCGTCGATTGTTTGTGAAAATACAAGTCGCCGGTAAATTACAACAAAAACCACGTGCGTTTTTCGCGTGCGCTGACGAAATTGTAGTTTCGTGGTAAAGCGCGAGATTCACAATTACGTAATTTTATGAGTAAATTCTTTTTCTACCTGGAATGAGGTATGGACTCGGGACCACTGACGGTTGCCAATACGCGGAGCTGATGGAAGGATAGGCCGTGCCCTTCGGTGATCGACTCTTCATGATGGCACTTGTTGCACTTCCGGGCACGCGACCTCCGCCGCCGCGGAGTAGGTCGGTGGGTGCATCGCATAGCATGATACCGTGGACCCCCAGGTGAATCGCGGTTACGTTTACCTACTAACGTGCCGCGTTCCGCCACGAAACTGAACGACTCATTTAACTTCAGTGCACAGTCACTCACGACAAGCCAAGTTATGTGACGAATACAAATATATCTATATACTTAGAGCGTCACTCTATGTATAGAGCGTCACTCTATGTACATACCTACGATGCGAATTGAACAATGGCCGATAACAGAACAGTAAACGCCATTATCACCGCGTGACTCACGTAGGCTAATAATGACCACGAGATCGTAGATCTCAAATCTTAACGTATAAGAAAGATTGCCGACAACTGCGTCGCAATTCATTTGTAATAAACTTCATACATCCTTGAATAAACATCGCGGCATCCGATTACGATCCTCCACCCACCGCCCGCGCTTAAAGAACAATCAATACCCGCACTTACCATTTCTATTCTCGCTATCCGCCGGTTTCATCTGTATGGGGTGGTGCATCTGCAAAAAAAAAAATCGCCAACATTAGCCAACACAATAAGCTGTCAGTCATCGGTGTAAATATAGCCGGTCTATTAACGGCCCGATTGATTTAGAAATCGCCTGGACGCAACAACAACGTGGCTATTTTTGCCAACAGGGTTGAAGCTATCCAGGTCGCCGCTAAGTGCCGCACATTAAGCCGCAGAAAAGTACCCGCAGCAAGCCAATTAACGCCCGCTTTATTGCCAAAATGTTAACTTACTACCAAAACACACGTTCGCCACGCACATTTCCGGTGCCAAAATTTCAACTATAAAACCGCAACAATAACATTAATTCGTTTAAATCGAAATTTATCGTCGGATTTTATTGTTTCCTATGTTGCACACTGTTTTCGCACCCCGAAAACGTAAATGATAGCCGAAGCCTTTCCCACTTTTTTGTGTGTTGTAGGATCAACGTTTTTCATAAGGGTTGTCAGTTGTCACATTCATGTAAAATATTTCTGTCATTCCTTGCAATGGTCTTAAGAGATTGCATTTAAATATTCAAAATTTTGGCGTTAAGTTTGCTCATCTAGGTGTTGCAAATATATCACGAATGCTAAGTCGAAAATCTTTTTGCTTCGAATGGAATTATATTTTCATTACCTTGTATTAGATTGATCAAAAGGAATAAAATACCTAGGCATTGCACATGTGAAATTATCCCCTCATTTATAAATTTTTGCAACTGTAATAAATAGTTATTAGTCCATGGGCTAATCAACTACATCTCTGGAATTATTGATCCAATTTCATTATTCTTTTTTTGTAATGAAAGCTCTTTATATGTGCTATAAATATTGTTATAAGTACTTTTTCGATAAAATCAACTGGTAATAAGTAATTTAAAAACACGTTTTTTTTTAAATTTTTTTCCGAATTTTCTTTACTACCTGTATTAATACACAATAAGTGGTAAAATATGCAAACAGTTTTGATGTATATGCACTCATATGCAAAGTTATCTCTAGATGTTGCATAATTTCAAAATTAAAAATACATTACGATAAACACTAGCAATAATATGTTTCTCTAAGTTTTCTGCACGAAATGATTGCCTCCTGTCGCTAAGAATTTATTTAGCACTAAGCAAAGAAACTTCTCCCTAAATCAACAACAAAAGTAATAGGTGCATTAGAAAACAACAAACTATTGGGAGCAATTTCCAAACCTTCCGCAATATCACCTATCAACACCGTAGAGAAAAAGTAAGATAAAATATGTAACGAGTGGTTTTATTTCGCGCCAAATTTCATTAAAAATTTCGAATTTCTTGTCATGATAGTGCAGGTCACCCTGTATATTTCATTATTTGTTCCGGTTAGAAATTTTGTGTTTGGGCATTTCGGTTCGCTCAAGACTATGGTCCGATAGATTTAATTTCGCTCAGATTTAATTTCGTCGTGGGAAGAGTGCAAAGCTGATTGACGTCATCATGAGTAATGCGAGCTGTTTGTCGTTAGTTTATTCAGCTTGGGCGCCGTCTGGACCGAGAAAAGGAGCGGATGTAACACCGAGCTATCAGAGATAAGGGCCCTTTCCACGTCGTCAACAGAAAACCGTGAGATCAGTTTGGTCAGCAGTTTTGGAGGTTAATGACGAAGTTGGAGTGGGTTAAGTTTTCTTTATCTAAACCAATGGGAGAATTTCTAGCGGGAGCCATTTTTGTTTTATGGTAATTTGGGTGTGTTTTTTTCATTTCAATTCTGAAGAAGGGGATCGTTTTTAGAAGAGACTCGCGGCTAGTACGTCGAGGGGTCAACACGTACTTTGAGTGATCGCGTTTTTAGAAGAGACTCGCGGTTAGTACTTCAAGCGGTCAACACGTACCTTGAGCGAAAGTTTTGGTACACTTGGCGGTTTGAGCCACCGGCTTATTTCGGTTGCTCCCAGTTGCGTGCTTTTTGCACCCGTTCCGAAGTGTTATTTTCTTTTCGTGTTGATTTTTTGGCGAAGAAGACTCGGTTCAAATCAGAGGATATTTTGGCGAACCCTTGAGCGTCACCCCAGTTTACTTTGGATGCAGTGAATCGCGTTAGGATACGTTGTGATTTCTCGAGGATATATAATTCAAAGTGCTGCCCTAGTCCTCAAGGCGCAGAATTTCGGGATCCGCCCCAGGTGGAATTTCCTACTCGCGCCGTAAGGTCATTTGTCGAAGGAGCGCTGCGTTTCGGAGAGATATTTGCCCCAAGAAGAGCTGGTGAAATAATACTTTGAACCGTCGCGGTTTACCGTCGGATACTGATCATAAAAGTTTGTGTTCTGCCGTACCGCTAACTCAAAAAATCCGTTTCCCGCCGGCGATTAAAGCTAATAAACTGATAAAATAAAATTAAATACACTGTGCTGTGTAGAAACTTTGGCAACTAGCCGTCTCCCACTCGCCACGCGAAGGATTTCCGGGACTAAGTTTCCGTTCAAACACTAAACTTTGCTTTCGTTCCGAGGAAGGATAGGCACCGTGGATTTTTGTTTCCGTGTGTTAAATTCAAGCCACCCCTAACAAAGTCACAGAGACCTAAGTGTCAGATCACATCCACCCTGTACCAGAGGAAAGAGCAGTTCACAAGATCGGCTGTACAAATGTTGTGAAGGTTAGTCTAATTAAATTTGTAATATTCTGTGAAATTCCACTTTTTGGTAATTAAGCTACAATAAAAAAATTTGATTTGATTGTTTATTAAAGTCCAATGAACGATTACCAAAGAGTAGGATAAATTTTTGTGTTTATTTAAATAAGTCCCAGCCCACGCTGGATTAAAAACTGATTACCTGTTGTTACATTTTTTCAAACTGTAGAGGATGGCCACCCCTTGAGTAAATTAGTTTCACCTGTTAGGATTTTTTAGTTATCATTGTTAAGCTAGTGTTTTTATAAGGAGAAGAGAAGAACTGCTAGATCCCTGTAAATTGTTTGTATCGCTAATTTCATTACAATATATTATCTATTTGGTTTCAAAGTGCCTGTCTTTAACAAAGAACGAGGGGAAGGAAAGGGAGAAGTAGGAGTTGAGGCAGGAGACTGGTAGGCGGCAGGTTAAGGTTGGTTACACAGTTTACAAAAGAGTTAAAAGCCCACCGATTTGAGTTAGCCGGAGCATTTATTTTTATCGATTGAGTAGCCTAAGAAGAAGAAGGTTTGCCTTGCCGGGCGGAACCGATGGTAATCTTCAAGTCCAGAAGGAACCCCCGTAGCAAATAGTTTGGAAATGATGAAATTAAACATCAATTAAATCAATCTATCTTCCTTCCGGCTATTGCAGTATGTTTCATGATCGCGTCCGTTACAAAAATCCGCAAAAATGTATTAAAAAGTCAAATTAAAATCGATTAAATCCAACAAAAATTTAAATGCATCTTAAAATATGCAAGTCTTATCATGTAAATGCAAAGAATATCAAAATATGCAAGATCGGTTTAATCGCAAATGTTGCAAATCGAAAATACACAAAATCTCATAAGACTACAACCAAAAATAAACGCTATGCATTTTGCATATGTGTTCACAGCTTTAGCTGATCAAGTAATTGAATTAAAATTAAAATAAAATAAGTGCTTCCAAACATCGAGAAGATGGTGAAAAACTGAAAATATGCAAAAATATATAATAATAGCGTATATTACCCAACAGTAAAACACAATTTAGAGCGTCCAAATGTCCGCGTCCTAATGTCTGCGGCTTATTTCCTATTCGGTCTATTGTCTTGCGGCCCAATGACGGCGTCCTATTGTCTGCGTCCTAATGTCTTGCGGCCGGTCACCTCGAAGAAATGCGAGGGAGCGAAGGTACTTTGAAATAGGAATGACGGAAGGGAATCATGGACAACACGAATAAAGGGAAAGGCAGGCACTGCAGGCTGTGGCTTAAAGAGGTACAAGTCAACCGAAAAGATGACAGAAGGAAGGTATAACAGAATCCCGAAGGGGGTTGAAAGACTTACAAACAGCTTACAATAGAGAAGAAATGATTACAAATACAAATACAAATATTTTATTGTCGATTATTTCCAAGAAATATTGACATCGTCATTTTCATTTGAATCACAAACATTATGTATACATATATGATATAAATAAGATTATTGGACAAGAATATAGATTAAAAAAACAAAAAACAAGGTACAAATATCACATATAAAAATCAAATATCACAGTTGAGAGCACGCCGTAACAAATTCCTGAAATGAATAAGGGCTGTTTTTGACTAGAAACTCTTTTAGATCAGACATTACTGCAAAACAGTGTTATAGAAGAGGTGGGAGGGATTTGAAACAAGGATGACGACGAAAGAAGTGAATAGATGGTCGTTTTGCCCTTTTAAAAATTTGATATTGATTATGTATGTAGGGAAATTTCCACATCTAGCGCTTCATAGCAAACTTGAACGAAATTAAGGTTAGCGATAATAAGAAACGTATTGGGTAAAGCAAGCGCGGTTGCCACGATCTTTTCGGATCTAAAAGTTGCGTTCGTACCATTTGCCCCGACTGGAAAAATAGAAATGCGGATTTTCTATTGGTTCTTTTGTTAGCGCACGCCAGTCGTGGTCATTGTGTTCAGAAAAGAAGGCCCGTTTCCTTTTCAATGTCGTGCCTTTAAGATCTCCCATGAGATTTTGTATTTGTCTGTGCTAAAAAATGTTTAAGATCGTAGGAGAGCAAGTGTTTAAAGGTTCTTTAAGAGCTTTGAAAACCGCTTTAAGTAATTGAATTTCTACTTCTAATATCCTATTATTTTACAGGGAATCTTTAAGGGCCTTCAAGCGTTTTCCATGTACTTTCAAGAGCCCTCTAAAGGCATTTGGCTTCAGAAATCTGCAACAAACCTGAATGGTTTTTTTACTCTTCTTAAGACCTACACAGCGCAAAGTATTTTTCCATAAGAGCCTTCAGGACTATTCCAACTTTTTAGATTGTTTATTTTATTTATTTATTTTATTTGGTTTTGAATTTGTATTTTGATAAACATAGG